TCATATTTCATTCATAAACCTATCAGCCATTTTTTCTAATGGCAAATAAACCAGGAAAGGTTAAAAGATCTAACGTACAGCCATGCTGCATAACACCAGAGTGGTGTAAGCAGTCTATGCCCTCACATACATACCAGGCCACTTGCTAATTCTGTAAATTTCCATCCATAGAGTGAAGCTAATAGAACTAAATATGAGCATACGCTCATACATATCTCATACACTTCTGTGCAAAAGTCAGGCATCCTTCCTTAAATAACTAATGAAATTGGGTTTTGCTTATCTGGCTGATTTTCCACTGAAGCTTATTAAATAATGTTCATATTTTCTACCCTGTTGAATGAGTTGAGGGGCAATAAACCTCCTGGTGACTGGTGGTGATAAGCAGCCGGAGTGTGTAACATTTTCAAGTGCTCCACATAGAGTCATTAAGGAACATCTGCCTATGCTGCTGCTTCTAGAAGAGGAACACACTTGATCCCCTTTGACATTTCTTTCCCCTGAAGGAAAAAAAGGTTCTTAATTGTGTTTTACCAGCAATTACCTGCATCGGCACTCTCTTCCTCTGTTAAGACTCACAGTATCCAATACAGATACACAAAATTCTTGCCAGACTGCTTGATTTTTTACTAACAATCTCCTTGACCAGAAATACTGCAATTTAAAATATGCTTCTTACAACAAGACTCCCAAATTCCCAATACAGAGTCAGATGAACCCCTAGGGAAAATGAGTTTGAGGGTAACTATATACTCTCATTAAAAACAATTCTCCATTGGTATCCAGGAATCTGTCTCTAAGAACAAAACAGAACCATTTTGTGGCTTAGGTAGCTCTCTGATCACCATGTAATGTCACCATCCTAGTTATTTGTATTAGGCTTCGTTCCAGAACTGCAGTCCAGAACAGAGGGTTTGGTTTGAGCCCCACTGGCAGAGGTCTGAAAAGAAGCCTGAATAACATGGACATCTGCAGTGTATCCAGTTCTTGCCAGCCCTGCCCGAACTGCATTTTCAATGAAAGTTGATCCACTCTCCTCAGCACTCCTCTTCAAGAGTTCATTTGCATTTCTCATCCTATCTCAAGTAAAAAGGACTGTCCTGAGAATCCATTAGCACATGAAAATCCTGTAATAGCCAATAGATGTTTGAAATCCATAGCTTGAAGCAGCAGGGAGTGGCACCCAAAGTGTGTTATAAAAGTCACCATGCATTTTAAACTGCATGTTATTGTTAAACAGATCAGAAATACAAAGAACTGGCAAGCGCAAAACAGCATGCCAAGGGTCCAATGTCTGATGGAGAAGTCTAAACTTAATTACTGGTACAAAGTCATGCATTCTGCTACAATCATAAGAACACACTAACTTCAAGTCCCTATTAATTTGAATGCACTAATGTTGCAGAAAGGTACCTACTAACTAAATGTGTGATTCGTATATGTGAATGATAACTACAGATGGACATTCCCATTTGCAAGAAGAATGTTTGTGTTCTAATTTCTGTAAGTTCATAAATCAAAGCATAGGTCATCTGGAAATAGCTGTATTGTTATCCGATTTTAAGGACAAAATTCAGAAGGCCTAGAGAGCTCTCATCCAAACTCACTAATCTTACCAGGGCTTTTAAACTTTTTACCTGCATCCATGGGAACAAAAAATTTCAGTTTGCACTTTTTAATATACCCTTTTTTTTTAATATATATATTTTTCAAACAAAACCTGGTTGTCCCATATATTCATTTGGCACTGTGAGCTGAGGCTTTAAAAGCAAAACCTAAACTGTACAATTAATAATAAAACCCTGCCATATTTTCATTAGTGTACTTCAAACGTGGGCAGACATGTCTAATGGTAAACAAGGATCTGTGGCCACTTCTGCCTTGAAATGCAAAGGCCACCTTACTTTTGCAGAAAGAGGAGGGCAGAGCAGAACAGGGAGCCTGACTGAGCTTACAAATATGCTCATTTTTTGCTCATTGTGATAGCTCAATGTGGAAATACAATGTATGTCCTAGATGTCAACAGTGGAAAAAGCCAACCTGTGTGAGAAGGGCCAGGCATCTAAAAATACTGATAAATGGGCTACAAAAAGCAGTAGCTTGCTGCCGAAAGCAAATGAAACATTTCTAAAGGTTTGTATTTTTGCTGCTACAGCCAAAAAGGCACAGAACAGAAAAAGGCACGACTGAAGGTATGAAAACTTACTATATTCTCCCTCTCCAAAAGTAGAAATAGCAGGGCAGTAGAATGGGAGCAGCTTTCAGGATCTCTGTCCTGATTACCTATGGGGATTCCCTGTACCAACCCACGTCTTACAATGTAATCAGCACTTCATACAACAATGGAAACTCAATCACCTCACCCAGTTTGGTTCTGCTGTTGATGCCTTCGCACACCCCTCCTTTCCCTTTGAGAGTAGGAGGCGGCCACTACTGACTATGTAACAAAGAAAGAGAATGTAAGTCAAGCGCTGTATCCTACACCTAATTCAAACATTTTGTATTCATTTCTCCTGGCACCACGGGGTGGATGAGTAATTGGATCATTATCTCCCCATCAACGAAAATCTAACATCACTGGGACAGGAAGTTGCAGCTGTATAACAACAGACAGCAGTATTGCATATTAGGTTAGAAACGGGAAAGGAAAGCACTACAGGCAATTTAAGGTTAGGAGGGATTTTATTATAATTATTCTGACTGTAATATAGCCAAGAAAACAGTGATTTGAAAAGGAGCTCTCAAAGTTCCTAGGCCAAAAATGATTATAACAAATTTTCCATATAGCCATTTTTTTCAGCTAATCTGGTCCAGATTTTGCTTCTCAGATGTCTGCTGTTGGTACAGCATTAGTCTACGCAGAATTTAGAAGGGAAAGCTTATGATTAGCTTATGATTATTAATTCCAATTCTGCCATGAGTTCTCTGTCAGTGTAGTGTTATTGCAGAGAAAAATGGTTCTTAAAGGCCACATTGCAAAACAGAATGATTTGCTTTTCAGAAGTACTTTTTTGAGCTTCAGGTATAAATCGTCTTTATTTCAGATGACTGAAAAGTATCCAGAGGGGAAATTCTACTAAAAGTAAAGAAATCACCCCACCCACATTTTAACAGTAGAAATTTAGCAAAAGCATTTGAAAAAAACCACTGCAATAGAATTTTGCCATGATCCTTTGCACTGGGATGATTTCCCCCCCCCCTTTTGCTGCTAAAATCGCAGAACTTTCTTCCCCAACCCAAAGACAAGCTTTATAAAGTAATATAAGAGTTTTCAGAAAGGATGAGATCTTTTTTCCTCAAAATTTAGTTCAGATTAGAGAGACTTTAAAAAGAATCACTTTATATAAAAAGGAAGGCACAGAAATCTCCACAGAAAATTAGTTTAGCTTGAGAGTTGAAAATTTTGAACAAGTGTTTCTTTGCACAGATCTCATCGCTACGCTCTAAGTCTGCTGTTCAGAAATGGATCACCCAGAAAGAGGGAGCTGGTGATTCCTCAACTCTTGTTACTGTGAAGTATAAGCTATCAATTAATAGAGACCCAGCTATTGCTTTTCTATTAGAAAAGGTAATACTGTTATTTTTTTGAGTGATACTTATGGACAAATTTTACTTAGTGTGCAAAATTGATCAAAGATAGCAAGTCAGTACTGGACAGAAAATAAGGAAACAACTCAGGACATCTTAATCTAATTTACAGTCATCCTTCATGTAAATTTCACTGTGGTTGAGGAATCAGGAATGTTATCAATAAACAGAAAGTGCTTCTCTAAGAATTTTTTTTTTTTTTTTACAGACTTCATTGCTCAAACATATCTGTGTTCAAAATAATAAAAAATTTGATGTTTATTTGTATAGTTTTCTTTCAGTTACTACAGAATGAAAATGTACCTTGAAGAGTAACGTGTGCATTCATGGGCAAAAAGGATCAGATTGTGTACAAATACTATTATACAAACATACAATCAAAGCACCGGTAAAGTAAGTATTGTTATAGTACAGTAAGTATAATACAGCAAGTATATGTGTAAATATAGGTAGCATGTGTGTATGCATTCATACACAATATACATTATCAAATACAGTCATCATTAATGAGAATGGCACTGTAACTAGTAAGCCATTCTAACTTGAACATCTTAATGATTTCCTATGGTTTGACCTGTATTTTTAGCCACTGCTTTTTCATTGTCAGTGTTTTTTCATTGCTAAAATGTCTTTACCAATTGCAGTGAGGTTACAGAACATGTAAAAGCTGGATTAGTGAACAAGGGTAGGAAATAGGTTTTTCTCACTGACAAAGGTGCAGCATAAAAATAGCTTAAAAGATAACTGCCACCTCCTACAGATTTTTCTCTTATTTCTTAACATGGTGTGGAAAATGTTCAAAATATTTTGTAGCGTAGGTCGGTATTGACTAAAAGTTTTTCTACGATATACTACGTAATGTAGTCCTGACTCTTTTCCAACTCCTGTCTTTCACGAATGTCATTTGAAGTATCTCTACTTACGCACATCAGGAACAATTAAGTACAAGACAACAAGTAAAATTGTACTTTAGTACCACAGTTCGGCTGCAGCTTTGCAACAATATTACTCGAGAACCTATAAAACGCAAATGAATTGCCATCTTCGTAATTCAGGGAAAAAAGCAGATACCGTCAATCCCTCCGAGCAGCACACAGACAAACCCTATGTCTTCGCAGAGCTTGAGCTCCTCTCGCTATTGCTGCACGCTAATTAGAATAGTTAAGTGCGAGACGTCGATCGTCAGCCACAAAGGCAACTCGCTAAGGTTGGTTTGTAGCACCCGCGGGGGAACTGTTTGAAAGGAAGTTTGTGCACACCGATGTTTTCAGCAACCGCCTTGTAAGAGAGGACCGGTTTCCCTTCCCTCCTCTCAGACAGGGGCCATCAGAGGAGGCAGCTCCGAGCCAGCCCCGCCGCCTCTGGCCAGGGCAGCCTCACCTCCCCGGGAAGGCTGCAACAGCGAGACTTACCTTAGTGAGCTGGGCGATCTTCTTGCACATTTTCATGTGCATTTCCTGATTGCATTCCTCTGCCGAGCTGCTGCGAGCGGCTTTAGATCCATTGCAAGTCCCGGGCTGATGAATCTTGTTTATGCCAGAGGCCATTAGGCTTGAAATATTGTAATCAAGTCTGTGTGCGTACGCTCCGGGTGGTGCGATCCTGTCCCTGCTGGCGGCCTCCCCCGGCGCGCTGCACGCACTCAAACCCCCATAGCGCTGGAGGAACTTCAGCCCCGAACAAGGCCAGCTCCAGCCGCCGCCGCGCTCCCTTCTGTGCAGATGTCCCAATCCTTCAGCAGAACACCCAGGCGAGGAGGCAGAGAACAGCATGTGCAAACATCCTGATCGGGATTTTTTTTTCCCTCCCCTTCTCTTCAAATGGCTGAGCTTCTGCCAGGAGAAGATGCCAGCGGCTGGATACTACAAATTCCCCACAGGAGACACTGAGCCAGCCATACAAGCAGCAGCACAGACGTTGCTGGGGTTCTCTTACAGAAATCGTCTGCAGATTAAATCATGTTACCTTCTTGGGCTGCCAAAGGATTGCAGAGGTCATCAGAGAGGGCCGTGTTGGCACCTTTCATAAGCTCTGCTATTTTGGGAATCCTCTCTAAGTCCGGATGGACCAATAAAGAGATGAAGAAAACCTTGTTCAATTTTTGCTGCTCAGCTGAAAGCAGAATGGAGCAGTTCTTCCAGCTAAGAGGCACACTTGAGCACAGCTGAGCCCGGGAGCAGTGTCCAGGATGGTCCACCTGCCTTATCCAAAGAGACTGGTCAGTTAAACTAAAGGCATTGGAAAGGTGCCAGAAGAAAACTGACAATATTACAGGTCATTTTTTTTTCATCTGCAAGCCATTCCCTCTCTTCAAAGAGAGAAGGCTTGGTTGTGGCTACATGTAAAAATAAATAAAAGGACAGAAAGGGCAGAAAAAAGGGCACAAAAAAGGCAAGCTATTAAGATAATGGGATTTTTAAAGAAGAATGGTTCAGTAAAGTGTTATGCAAGAAGAAAATGGTTAGTGGACACATTTAAACAAGCCTAGAAGAGAAAGGGGAAGGAGGAGAAGGCAAAGTAGGGTGAAGTCAGAGCAGTGGAGAAGAGGAAAATGGAGAAAGAACAGGTAAGAGAAGCTGAGCATTGCTCAACACCCCTTCGATGTGTCGCTGCAGCCAGTACAAGAGCAGGCCAAGGGCCCCATCTCAGCTCACACTGACTTGCAGCCCGCCAGAGGGGACATGAGGCTGCCTCTTCCCCCCCATGCCCCATGCAGGTAAGGCAGCTTTCTTGTCTCACCTCCTGGCAGTACTTTCCATCTTTCTTGGGCAAGAAGCTTTCACTTTGCTAGTGGTGAGTTTGAAAAAGAGTTTCCTTGGGACTATCAGAATTGGGAAGGAGGATTACATGGTGTCAGCTAAGGGCAAGGTAAAAGGAAAAACGGAAATCCTCTGTGAAGGCAAAAAGAGATGAAGCACTGTTAAGAATAAACACTCCAAGAGGAAGAAGATCAAGGCAGAAGAAGAACGCCTGCAGGCAGCGGGGGAGGAGGAGGAGTGAGAAGATGTAAGAAGAGAAGACCTTGGGACAGAGAAACCAAACCCTTAAATTGCTGGGAGAAAAGGAGGGACTCTAAATCTCCGGAGGCAGAAAGAATCTTCACTCCAGGAGTGAGAGGAAATGAAGACTGACTGAGAAACGCAGCGTAGGAGAAGGGAAAGGCCAGGAAGGAAAACAAAGATGGTCACAGTTGCTGGGAGATGCTAAGCAGGGAAGAGAAGTTTAGCCCAGACAGAACATTAATAAGAAAAGGTAGGAAACAGAGCCTTGTACACAGGAATGACTAAGTATAGTTTCTTCATTCACTGGCATTAGTGTCCAAGATGCTGCTGCTTGTGACTGGAACTTTTTCTATGACTAGGGCATAAGGACATGCCATTGTCAATTGTCTGGTATCTGATAAGACATGTACTCACACTTAAGTTTAACTCAGTTAATATGGTCATAATATCTTCTCTACATGGTCATCAATTTGAGAAAAAGTGTAGGAACATAATTATATGTAAAATTTTGATAAAACTGACATGCTTATTAGGACAATCAAGAGAATACAAAGGGCTAGAACAATTTCCTAGCACCTTGCTTCCTCAGAAAAAGAACAAAACTGAGTGAAAATAGAAAGCAAATTAAGAAAAATGCAAAAGGTTTTAAAAGTACTTATAATAAGTTACCTGTGTTATTGCTCTACTAGACAGATAGTAACATTCATGTTTTTTCTACTGAATAGCAGATGACACACTGGACCTGAATGCATGGCTGGACAGAGACTTGAGACACTTACACAGGCATAGGCAGAGCAGAGGAGCACAGATCTCCAGGTACACTGGGAAAGGAATAAACCACTGAGACATATTCAAGCAGGCAGTTTATGTATTTTGGGGGGTTAGAGGAAAAAACTTGACGCTTTGGTACAAGACAGGGTGTTAGCAGAATATAATTTGTCACTGGTAAATTATTCTGAGCCCAGACAAGACTTGTCAGTCAATACTTCAAACATTGGAAAAGCTTCATTCAGATCTCATGCACCAAAAAATGCAACCACAGAACATAAATTCAGAGGTGACTCAAGTTCATTAGTTCCACCACTCAAAAAATCCACTTGATTTCAATAACAGAATTTCAGCAGATAATGCCAGAGCTTTTCAATGAGAATTTGACCTATTTTTTTCTTCTAATTGATCTAGGGATCACCTATAGATAGGACGACAAAGCAAGGACACCACAAAGCATAATTTAAGTGTGTACTATACAAATGTGGGTTTTGTGAGAACCACATGGAACACATAGGAAGATTACAGAATGTTCTTGAACTTAGGGCAGTATATGGCAAAGATAGTTTAAAATACAAATTAAAAGTCTAAACAGAAAACACACATGCACATTTCTGCTTGAATTATGATTGCTGCATTAGTTTTAAGTAAATTATGAGAGAAGGTGGTCATAGCACTACTATAAGTCTATGAGTAACTGTACACAGGTTTATAGCTTTACAGATGCATTAACTAATTTACCTTTTTATTATAAAAAACAAGTCATATATGAGTAAAAAACTATAAGTCTTCCATTTTCGGTACCTGCTGCTTGTTGAGTATGCAGACTATATAGCTTCTGAAATCTTTATAATCCCTCTTTGCAGTCCTTCTAACTCAGCCAACTGTGGTATGCATAATAGAGTTGAGAGACCTTTGTTCTACGAACTTTAGTCTTCTCAACCTTTGAATTTGGAAAATCATAGCACATAGACTATCGTTATATGAGAGCACGCTCCTTCTCTTACTTTGATGGTGGATCGGGCCATTATTACACAACAAAAATTAAATGTTCTGTTCATTACATCCTTCCAAAATTTGTGTTCGGGTCTGTTTTTTTAATAATATAATATTGAAGGAATATTTACTGTTCTCAATCAGTGAGGAAATAAATAGGGCTTCTGATGAGCTTTGACTTGGAATCAAATCCTTTCTTGTTTTAGAGGCATGTGTGGGAGAACCAAAAATTGAATTACTTTCCTCCTTCTATAATGTTTTTATAAGGCTTTTCTCCCTCTGTCAAAAAGAAAAGAAACAACTTGGAACAAAATCTGCATGCAAAGTAAGTAACTTTTGAGTTCTTACCTTTTTTCTATGGTACCAAAGCAATTTGTCATTGCTAGGTTATCATAAAAGCACTTTGTCCTGTCACATATTTAGTCCATAAGAGTGACTCAGATGTCAGAAACATTCTCCGACAGCTGATCAGTCAATGCCAGTAAATCTTTAAAAGTGCCTCTAAGTCAACATCATCAGGATTGTCAAATGGGAAAAAGTGCAATTCTGGATATGGTTATTACAAAATCCTTGCCACCAAGCAAATTAGCTTTAAATGCCTGAAACAAATTTCAGGTAGGCTTTCATAATACATATATAAAATTCTTAACACCCTGCATGATTTAAACATCAGTATAATTTAAGTAAGGTGTGACCCATATGGATCGAACTCACCCAGTTTACCTCACTATCTCAACTGAAACCTAAATCCATCAATTCAGCATTATTTATACCTACACATAAAAATCTTTGTGTCATGTACAAGGTAAGACTAGCTACTATTAAAAGACCCACACACCCTGAAGACATAAAGAAGATATTTCTGTTGCAAATGTTTAACACATAAGTTTGCTCCTTTGTTTAACATATTACAAACAGCTTTCCCAAAACACAATTAATACAGAGCCCAATTCTTCCACTATTTGTCTGAATACCAGTACTACTGACGTCAGTGGATTTTTTTTTTTTAAATACATGAGGGCAAAGTTAAACTGATCCCCCAGATTACACTCTTCTGCTACTTTGCAGTCCAATAAAATTTGCATTTGAAAATGGTAGAACAATACAGTTAGTCATTAACTGTCACGTTACATTTCAAATGACAAAGCGGTATCAATAAAATGGATTTAAAACTTCTCAAGTTAGTGAGTGTCTCAACAAAGGAAGATGCAGCCCTAAGTGAGATTCTAATTTAATTCATAAATCACTACCCTCATTATTGATCCCCATTTAAATTCATTTTGGTCCCAAAGCAGCTTTTTGACCCCAGAATACAGGATTCAGGGACTGTTTTTCCCTTCTTACAGGAAAAAAAAAAAAGGAAATAAAAAGTAGTCAGAAGACTCGTAAGAACAGCTATCCTGCTCAACTAATTCACTATCCTACTTCCGATAAAGCTTGTTTTGGGATTGAATGCAAGAAAAAGGACAAGTATAAAGTGGTTCTGCCACTGGTACATCTTGGGTAATTACATATATTATGTATAATTTTTATATATATACACATAATATTATATATAACTACTTTATAATTTTCATTTCTTCCCACCTCATAAAGCAAGCAGGATTTGAGAGTCCAATTCAGAAACCACCAGAAGTGCTACCTCCTTGACTGAAACCAGTAACTATTCAAAAATGTATATACAATTTTACAGCTGACTTACATACACACAAGTTTTGGAGGAATGTGGTGAACAGAGCCTCTGATTACTACTGCATAATGATGGCCCAATTATGGATGAAATATTACTGTGCTTGTATTTTTAATTTGGAAGCTGGAACCAACCGGATGCATCAGTTATGAAAGCCCTGGGACACCTACTGAATAGGGTAGCAACAACTATCCTTTTTTTAACCTGTTTTTTCACATAGTGACCTACATCTAAAATTACCACAAAGTAACTGGCATGCAGCAAGTTTGGCTTACCCTGTGGCACTGTGTATTTGTGC